TGGTACCTACACCTGGCTAGTTGAAACCCGGTAACTATGTCCCAGGAGCTGCTTGGTTGACTTTTCAGCTGGCCCTTTTATGAGCGACTAACTAATTAAGATAAGTGTGTCTGATTTTCATATTAATGGCATACAAACGAACCCATTGTGGCGCTCTTATCTTAAATGTTTGGGGCCAAGCTAAAGCGTCAAATGTTGGCCACTTCTCCGCTCTGCACTCCGCTCTGCACTCCGCAGCAGATCCCTTCCTGGATCCTTGTGCGTTTTCTGATTTTTCAAACATGAACATGAAAAAGGCCAGCGGGGGGGCTTTCGGTGAAAAAAAGGGAATATATATGTGGGAGGATGTGGAGGGGCTACTGCAGCGGACGTGGCTTACATGAGCATGTGTTTTTAAGCCTCGTTGGGCACAAAACAATTAATATTGTGGCCCGCCCACAAGTTCACCCACAGCTAAGCACAAATCAGCCTCCTGTGAAATGTGAAACACAAAAGCTTAGGCGGCGGCGGTGGAAGTGGAAGTGGAAGTGGCACCACCAACAACAACAGCGACCGGAAACGGAAGCGCACAACTCTTTGCGCGAATTAATCACACAGCAACAGCAACAGCAACTACAACTGCAAATACATGCGAGAACAAGAGCAACAACAGCCAGAAACCCAGTGAACAGCGGCAAAAATCAGCAGAGGAACGACATGGACACGCATATAAAATGTGCCTCGTCAGCTCTTCAGCTCATATTCCCTCACACGGAGTTAACATAAAGTGGTACGGTGAAGCCCAGCCAAAGATATTCGCCAAATTAAAATCCTCCACACTATAATTGCCTTAAAAATATCTGTATAATCAATATGAAAATCGTTTAGATACAAATTAATCCAATACTACTAATCATTTTTTAAGGTATACATATGTCTTGATTGCCAATGTAAAGATTTATTTGCTGAACAGATACATGCATTCTCTCTAATTTTAAATTAAACTACTATTATTATTGAAACTCAATTGTTTCTCTGCTAATAGAAAACCGATTTGTAGGTCTGCCAATAATAAATTAGAGACAGCATAATACAAACAACATACAAAATACGAATTAAATTACTTGTTAAAGCGTTTTTCAATAATGTGAGCCACTGATTAGAGAACTTATGCAATAAATTAGTTGCTAAAATCACTTGGCTTTTTAAAAATTGTATATTTAGTGTAGAGCCAATTTATTTAAAGAAATTAATAATGAATTTTTATCAGAAGCTTATGAGTTAAAAAATGTGGTTCATTACTGTTAGCCATGTTATTCAAAGAAATTGATTTTGTAATTCATTAGAGTAATGAAAATAATAAAAGATACAAAATGAAGAAGCAATTTCTAAGAACGCAAGTGCCTTGTGGTTGCTCAGTTTTAGCAGTATCTATTACGAGCAAATCACTTTCGTAATCCACTAGATATTTTGTTGACCCACGCAATCAGGACGCCTGTAATCCATTATCATTTCAATACCTAATCAAATCTGGCGCAGGCGATTCCCCCGAGAGGATCTTCACTGTGGCCCAGCTCGAGTGCGGTCACTAACTTCCCGAGGTCCGCCCACCAGGACGCCCCACCAACCACCGTCTTTGGGACCACCTCCTAACCTCCCCACACCACCTAAACACAATCACCCGACCACCCACAAAACGGCAGTGCATGAAGCTAATTAAATATGCGTGCCTTGCCTCAATGCCCCGGCCGCTGAGGGGATTGCGTGCCCAACGACCCCTGCCCCTTGACCTCCTCGGAGGCACCTTCCTTTAAGCCCGCTGGCCCACCTTGGCGGGCTTTAATGTCCCCCTGGTTTATTGTCCCCCCCCCCCCCATCCTCCCGCGTATCTGCCTATTTCGGTGGCATATTTGCTAATCATTTTACGTGCTATACGGTTTATTGTTTTTTAAAACGTGGGCGTGCCGGTCGGCGGAGTGAATTTAACGAGCGGCGGCTGGGACAACGGGCCTTTGTAATGCAAATTAAATAAACATGATTTTTATATGATTTCGCCGTGCGATGCATTGTCCTTGGGCCCGAAAGGACTTCATAAGGACCCCGCACTCCGCCACTCCCCACTTTTCACACTCCTGTTCGTGCAATTGCGGCGGTGTCAATTTTATGAGCCGTCAGTCATTTCGCATTTCGCCAAACTCTGAACTCTGAACTCTGCAGCAACGCCTTCGAGTGTAATTTAATTGAATAATTAAAATTTTTATTGCTACCGTGTGTGTGTGTGTGTGTTTCTGCGCCGCTTTGCATGTGTTGGTGGGGAGGATATGCAAAGCGTGTCATTTTAATTTACGACCATGACGTTCAGAACAGCCAGATAATAAACACGCTCGCAATTAAGTATACGCCGGGGCGTACTCCTGCACATCCAATGCCGAGCATCCGGCACGCAAACGTCAATTTTTAGGGGGAGGAAAAAAGTGGCTGAAATTGGTCAGCAGCAGCTAAGAAAACTGGTTTGCTTTTGACCAAAAACAGGACAAAATCATAGCCGTTTTATGGTCATTTAAGAAAAAAATAAGTACACGTAAAAGAAAATTCAGTTGGACACTTCTAAAATTAAAGATGCAATATATATTACCCGAAATCATTTACGAAAATTTTAAAAAGTATTTTACTAATAACAATATTTAATGTAACATTTTTAGTTATAATAGAAAATCAGTTATTTATGTAATAACTATAATAAAACAGTAAGAATGATCATTATTTGCATGTGTTTCCTTTAAAATAATAATAAATCAATGAATTGAAAATTTAATTCCATAAATCACACAACAAATGACCTTACCAAAAATACAATAAAATAATAATTACAAAATGAATACCATTTGGAATGTAAAAATTCTACAAGTTATATAGTGTGAGATATGCAAGGCAATAATTTTCTTTGAACCCACAAAATGTGTCGACAGTGACAAATTCTTTCGTTTTTCATCGAAGATAACCCATTTCGGTAACGTAAAATTCCAACTATTATTTTCCGGTTGACATAACCAGGTTTGTGGTGTTGAAAATGGACCAGTTGACAAAATGTAAGTGTGTGCTTAGTTTTGTTGGCACTCGTATTTAGGCACTGAAATTCCAATAGCCTTTGTTACACCCCCACAGTTTCAATAAACAACAATAAAACTGTGCATAAATACAATGCAAATATGAGTACGTTGCACAAGGATATTCGACCGACAGGCGTATCCGCTTTGCCCAGCAACACCACCCGCCCCCCGAAGAACTGGCATTTCAAATGCATATTTTGTGTTTTTATTTTTATTTTGGTGCAAAAAAGATATATACGGGCTGGCAAAATATTACACAACATTTGAAAGAGTTTTTAAAATGACTGGAAAGCAAAGCGTCCAGCACAGCACAAAAATGTGAAACAGTTTTATTTATTTTATAACCCGCTCAGCGCTGGCATTTGTATCTGTATCTGCATACTGCATACTGCATATGTATCTGTATCTGTATCTGAATATGGATCTGCATCTGTGCCCGTCTGTGTCATTTGTTTGAGCTGCGCAACCCAAAAAAAAAACGAGAAACATAAATGGAAAGCGAAAATATAGTATTTAAAAAGCGATTTCATGTTGTTTATATTTGAGCGGGCTCAAAGCTATTGATTGCTCCGGATCTGTTCCACAGAGAGGAGATTTAAATATTGGATATAGAATATGAGGGGAGGTAACAAGCAGGTAATCGCGTTGGCCTCCAACTAAGTTACATCATTTTTGCATTTGCGAGCAGTGAGCAGCGAGCGGGAGAAATGGAATCATGTAATTGTAATTGAAATGAAGTAAGCGTGAATTTCGCTTAAAAAAATAGCCTGAAAAGTGACTGGCAGGGCAGCGGGAGCGGCGATAAGAGGCCAGGGCCCAAGCTCTGCAACTCTGGGCAGCTGGGAAATGTTTGTTTCCTTTCAAATCAGTACACTTCCTTTTTGGCCTGGCCTTTCTTCCATCTCGGCCTGGAGTCTGGGTCTGGGTCTGGCTCTGGAGTCTCTGGTCTGCATCTGCAGCTAAAGGCAGCCAAGGAAAATAAATGAAAATCACTTGAAAATACTAACGAGCTGTTACGCTTGGCAAGAAAAATATAATCAGCAGCATCATGTCTGCAGGTGCACTTAAAAGGCGTTCACTTTTACCCCGCCACGCCCCATTACTGAGCCAAAGCAAAAGACCATGCCAAACAATGGTCTACAAAAAGATCGAACCCAAAAAAAAAAAACGTTGTTAAAACAATTAAAACTAACCTTTTTTGTGCAAAAGGTGAAGGCAAGTTCGAAACACAATGGCAAATGGAAATGTTTAAGGCCTTAAGCAGGCGAGTCACAGCCATCAGCTTTTGTCCAGCATTTCCCGAAGCGGTTTAACCACTTTTGGCCATCCACTCCACTCCATCCAATCCACTGAAGGAGTGCGGCTTGCTTTTTCTTATTTTCCTCCATGAAGGCCACCGGAGATCGTGATCGTGGCGAGATCATAATGAAGCTGCACTGGGATGGAGGCGCGTGCCAACTCGACTAATTCCTTGTCGTTGTCATGGAAAATGACTTTGAACTTTATTGTTTTTCCAAGTGTCTGGGATCCGGTTTTTTCGTTATGATTTGGTTATTACATTTTCTTTTCTTTTTCTGCACTGCGATTTGAATTGATCGCGTAACTTAATTCATAAATGCATAGCTAAGGCGCGAGTGAAATGGCAAATGGCCAAGGAGACAGGCAACAGGCAGGCTTTTTAAGTCGGGTCAACAAATGGCAAACACTCACTTTTGGCCGACCGCCTTCTATCAACACAGCTGAAGCTGCAAATTGTGTAAGAGTTTTCCTCGCAGCAGATCTGTCCTAGTCGCCAGCCATATAAAAACGCTGTCCCGTCCACATTTCGGCCACATTCCCATCGCAGCAGTCGGGCAGCAGCCATCAAGGTCTAATCCCATCCCAGCCAGAGTTCGAAGCCCACCAGGCCAAATGGCGAACGTTAATTTGGTGAGTGTGGAGGGAAAGGAGTGGAGTGGCGGAGTCAAGGAGTGCAGTCAAGGATATTAAAAATGCATTATGCAAAAATTCTGGAATACAAAGCCATGCCATTCAGCACTTTTTATAGGCGATACTCTCGGAATACTGGGGATATTGAGCGTTAGGAAATTTATAGAACAGGAAGAAGTGAATCTATAGAGTTTCTATATTCAAAAACAAAATTAATTTTAGATAAAAAGTGATCAAGCCTTAAAATTAAAAAAAAAAATGAGATATTGCATTGCATATTGGATTTAGATTTATAGAAGAAAATTCTTTTAAGTATAAATTTCTAAAAACAGGATGATATTGGTATTAAAAGCTATCAATACTGAAAATAAAGCATGTTGGGAAAATTATGGAACAGGAAGAAGAGTATCAAAACAGTTTAAATTATAAAAAAAGGAAAAATACAATCTATTAAGATTACATATACTAAAACAAGATAAAATTGAGATTAAAAGGTTCACGGTTATACTATCTAAAATAGTTACTATTGGAAAATTGTCTTTTTAAAAACTGTTTTATACCTACGGAATGGAATTTGTAAATAGATATTTTTCAGGCGAATCCTTTCCTTAGTTTTTTGCTCTCCACCTAGCTCGTCTAAAGTGTTTTGCATATTAAATCGTTTTGTATTATCCTCTGCAGCAGATGCCGCTCATTGCAGCCGCCACCACCATATTGACAATAGTGAGTGGGGCCAGCTCCTCCTCCAGCGTCGCGGAGATGGCCAGGAAGCACCACCCATCCTATCACAATATGGGGTCTTTGTTCGACAATCGATGGCTGCCCATGGATCAAACGATGCAGCAGCCCCATCCCAATCACCGTTATGGTTCGGCCAAAATTCCAGGAGGCGATGCGGGCGACAGGCGAGCCTTTGGCAGCAGTGGCAGCCATTCCTCAGGCCCCCGGCAAGGATTCGCCTCGCTGCTGAACGGGCTGACAAATCTCTCGGGCCTGGGGCACATTACCAATGGCTACGGCTCGGTGGCGCCCACCCACACGGAGGCTTTGGCCCTGGGCTCCACCAAACAGGAGATACCCATTTACGAGGAGCACAATGAAGATGCCGCCGCGGTGGCCGCCGTGGCAGCAGCTGGAGCCCATGACTTTGGCTCGGGACATGGCCAATCTGGCGGTGGATTGGAGAACAATCAACAGCACTACAATTATCCCGGTGACGGTGGCTATGGGTCAGCGGGATCTGGTGCGGAGCAGGGTTACGACTCCTGGTCGCCTGAGGAGCAACCGGAACAGCAGGCGCCCCATCCGTATGCGTACGATAAAATCTCAATGGGGAATTTCCTGCCGCAGTACGAGTCGAGTTCTGGATATGATGACCACCAGGGTCGGCTTTACCACCAGCAGCAGCAACTGCAACAGCAGCACCAGCAACAGCAGCAGCAACTCTACCACCAGCAGCAGCAGCAACAGGAGCAGGAGCAACGCTCCTCGTACTTCGGACAACATGATCCATCCGCATCTGGATCTGGTTCCGCATCCGGTGTGGCATCGGCTTCATCCGCCTCGGGCGGATCTGGTGCCGATGACTACGAGGAGCATTCCGATGCTGGCCAGGAGCAGAGCTCCAACTACTTGTCGGAGGCAAGTGGTCATGGCCAGGGCCACACCCATCACTCGCATCACGTGGATATCATCAACTATGTGCCGGTGAAGCATGTGAAGAAACAGCATGTGCCGGTGGAGAAAGAGGTGAAGATACCCGTTTCGCATGCGGTCATCATACCAGTTCGCAAGCCAGTTCCCATCCACATACCGATCACGAAGAATGTCCAGGTGCCGGTGGAGAAGGAACTCAAGATTCCGGTGGAGCGGTTGATCCCCGTGCCCGTGGAGAAACACATCCCGGTGCCGGTGGAGAAACATGTGCCCTATCATGTGGTCAAATATGTGCCCATCAAGGTGCCCAAGCCCTTTCCCGTCAAGGTGCCCGTTTTTAAGACCGTGCTGCACAAGGTCAAGAGCTGGTGGTAGAATCCAGGACTCGTAAATCCTTTCCTGCATTTCTGCACTCCTGCATTCTCCTCATTTGCATCCAGAGCACGCGAATTCGGTTATAGTTATAAGCACATTACGCATACGCCACCATCGCCCCGCCAAACCAAAGCGAACATCATTATGCAGTTTTGCACATTTCGTATTCCATTTTTAATGTGGAGTTTTAAAATTCATTTAATCCTCGTGATGTACAACAATTTTGTGACTCATTTAACATTACAACAATTTGCATTAAAATACAAACACGAACGGAAACAGAAACAGCAACAGAAACCGAAACAGAATCGGGAAATGGAAATGGGAAGTGGAAAATGGGAAATGGAAAAGGCAGACGACACACACACATATTGCAAGACCGAGGTTTTTAGCAGCGATTTTACGGTGCATTTGTCATGGACATAACCCTTTCCCCCACCTTTTACCCCACTTGGCACCTCATCCCACGGCACCCCGTCCTCATTTATTTAATTTCACTTTAAGCGCACACAATGAAATTTGTGTTTAATGAAATGAAATTCATCTTCACAAAAGGCTCGCGCACTCGGCACCGTTGTTCTCAGGCTGCCAAATGCCATTTCCAGACCATTACATCGCCTGCTCGGACCGAAATGTGGGCGGCTGTTGGTATATCTTTTGGGGGAAGGGGTTCGTTCCCAGGGTCCCCGACTTTCCGACTCCCCGGGTCTAATTAAATTAAGTGCACACCTTTGTTGTCCCGCTACGCGCTGGCATGCCGCTCGTGTCCTATGTCCTATGTCCTGTGTCACCTGTGCAGAAACTCCGCTTTGATTTGCAGCCCGATTGAATTGGCCAAGGGACTTCTGTTCTGTTACCCATTTTTTCTCGATTTTTTCCTTCTGAAAACTATGTCACTGTCTTTAAATATGCACTGGACAGTCTGGAGTAGCCGGCGGGCAGGGCTTGCATGCTGGAAGAAGCAAGGAGTAACATATCGTTTTCAGTAAATTTTCTCGCCAGCAATCCTTCTTGCCAGCACGCACAGCCTCCTCTTCAAACAGAAAACGACTTTCACTGAAAAAGAAATGGTAGTAGGATTTTACTTCCTTACATTTTGGATAAAATGTAGTGAGCTAAATCAAAAGAGATGTTAAAATTTATGAGCTTGTCTTAATTTGGTTAAAATAAAATCATATTACTGGAAAATGTATAATGCCAACAGTAGGTATTTAAGTTAAAGTTGTGTATACTTTACTACTTTTAAGTAGTTATTAGACAAAAATTAATGGACAACCATATTATAAAAAAAAGTATCTATCTATAATATCTATTTTACAAACATAACATAACATTAAGATCTATTTCATCAATCGAATGTTCAACTAAAAGAAGGTTTTCTTGTTTTTTGGATCAAGAAACCCTTCTTTTTGTTTTACATCTTGTCAAATAACAGATGTTTAACCAATGTCCTTAAATCGAGAAAAAATTTTCAATGTTTTTCAGGGTTTTCATTTCAAGTAAAAGCTTTTTCAAAATAAAGAAGTCTTCAACAGTGTAGTTTAAAAATAAATTTTTTTGTAAGAATTGGATATGTTTTTGTTAGAACTTGCCTTTAAAATTTTATGTTTAGATACTTAGTTAGTTAAATATTTTTGTAACTCCTGACTTTCTATGATTAAATACATTTTTAATAAGCCTAATGAAACAAGAGAGGGGAGTTGTTATGTGTTGTTTTATTCAAATTTATTCGAATATTTAAAAAATGTTCTTAGTGTGTCCCCGGCTGTTCGTCCTTTGTCCTGTGTGTGTCGCTCTCGACTGTTTGTCGTTTGGCGCGGATGCGAATGCGAAAGCGGATGCGGATGCGGCTGCGGTTGCTCGGCCCTCAGTTGTCAGTCACGCGGCTGTCTGTGACTCCTTGCGCGAACCTCCTCCTCCTTTCGTCCTGCCGCGTCCTTTCCGCGTCCTGCCACTTGCGACTTGCTACTCTTGCTCCATTTACTGTGTATTTTTGATGTCTAAATTGCATTTTATTATGTCGCTCGTTCGAGGGAAGGCGGCAAAAAAGGCGAAACTTGTTCGCCTGCCACATATGTTCGTTCGTTTGGCGAAGGGGATTGCGATGCCGTTGTTGTTGCGGTTGTAAATTTTATTTATCATTTAACATTTTTTACGCTCTTTATGCCCCTCCAGTCGGGCGGTTAGTCAGGAAGCAGCCCCGCCCAGCGACACACTTTAAGTGACTTTTCGAGTACTTTATTTTGCATACAAAATATTTGCCTTGTCGCCATGTGCATGCGTGCGTATACGTAATATCGCTGCCAACTCACTTGGCTCTGTAAGTTGGCTCCTCGTCGGTGCGGCGATGTTATGGGGCTTCTCCCTGGCCTTTTTTTACACACTTTTTATGTTAAATTAAACATTTAAAATGTTATTATGATTTTTATTTCGCCGCTTTATTAGTACCATTTTTGTGATGCCGCAATATTGTTTTTACTCCGACATAAAAGTGCATGATGTTTAATTAACTATTCAGTTTTCTCTCCTCTTGAATGGCTGTGTACATTATTAGTTTCTGCACAGTTGCCTTGTGGTGGACATAAAATTAATTAATTTAAATTAGGGCAACATTAGAAGCGAGTGGGTGAGCATGGGAACATATTTGCTTGATATTGTTGTATCTCTTTGTGTAGATGACAGAAAATTATTGGTCGTCGGATAACGAGCGAATACTAACCAAATAATAATAACATGAGTGTGTGCAATTTGCTACTGCATTCAAATGTTCAATTATATATGATTTTCACCAGATAGAATGGAATTTATGTGAAATCTTTGTCGGCCAGGTGGTAAAAAGGGCGAAAATCGGCGAAAACTTTATTGATGCAATTGGAATAGATGGCCAGCAACCACACTCTCACTTCCGCGTGGCAGTAAACAAAACTGTTGGTTTTAATAACGGCCAAGTGCATGTGTGCCATGTGGCTAAAATGGAGGAGGGTGAGCGGTATTTTTTGGAGTCAGCTGCCACTATGTTTGCACTTTTATTAAAAAACTTTTGCATAATGAAAGTTTTGAGCTTGCTCTCCAAATTGTAGACGCAATATATAACTCACAAAAAAGTTGAGTGCGGTTCAGCTATTTATATAAATATTTTTGCACAACTTTTGGCCAAAAATGATTTTTCAAGTGTTTATGATGCTCAACTCCTGGGCTTTGTCCCCCTTCCCCCGTCAGTGCACATTAAATGCCATTCATTTCATTTAAGTAAGTTTTTCTTATTGATCCTTGGATTTGGTACACGGGAAAGATATCGTGTAAATATTATTTAAATGATTAAGAATAATTTAGTTTTGATTATAAGTTGTTATTTTTATTTTATTTGCTAGTGTGTTGGAAATTTTATTTTATAATGGAGTATGATTTTTCCTAGCCTAAAATATTATAAGGTGATTAATTTCCAATCTTGTAGATATACTATATACTATTTAGATGATGATACTTTTTAAATACCTTTTTTTTTATAGATATAATATTGTATTAAAAGGAGTACTAAATGGTACTAATCCAACGATAATAATACTTACTTTTCTAAGTGTACTCTACCTGTTTTTATAGATATATTATTATATTAAAATGGTTAAAGTACTCACTTATTATCTAGATGGTTATTAAATCTCCCTTTAATCAAATTCCTTTCCTGTGTACGGATACACCCGGCCCTCCCCTTATTTTACCACTTAGGTAGTAATATATATGTTTGCCGGGGGTGTGCGAACGGCAGTAACGACAATGATGGCTATATAATGGGAATGCGAATTTTTATTGTGGCCACAACGGCTGGCCGGGATGGGCCTGGCCTCGCCGCCTGGTAATATTAGGAGCTCTAAGGAGGGCCGCGCCGAGGACTCACTCTAAAAGCAATGATACTTTTATCCCCCCATGTCATTGCCACGTAAGTCCGCCACTCAGCGAGATGGCTGGTGGCTCAGTTCTCAGTTCTCAGTTCCCAGTTCTCAGTACTGAGTTCTCAGTCGCATCCTCGGGCCGCTGAAGTCTACTGATGGCTGCTGATGGGCGCTCACATTGTCGCCGTCTTCGGGTGTGGATTTTCGGGATATGCGGCGCTACATGTTATGAATTTTTTAGGGGCTTTCGTCCTTGCAGAGCGGCCTCAGACGGGCAGACAATAATAAAAGCCGCTGGCACGTGCACAGTCGCAATACCCGTGCCCGAGATTATGTCTACGTTTTGCTCAAATGATTTACACGTCGTCTGCGGGACAGGCTCTATTCGGATCTACTTGGTTGGGAGTGGTATTCGGTTTGGAATTGGGATTGTCCCATCCTGTTGCAACGCGTTAACGGTTACCAATTACCAATTTGCCATTGCCCTTCGCGGAATTTTCGAATTTGCGATGCTGCTCCTGGAGGTTGGAGCCCGAGTCCCCTGTTTTGCCCACCGGAAATTGCCTGACATTGAATGACGGCATTAGCTTCTCCACTGGCTTATGGCAATCGCTCTTAAAGCCGGCCAACGCTGATTTAAATGTTCTTGGCAAAACAGATGGCTTATGTGGGGGCTAAAAGGTCGAACTCGAATAAGGTCACATAAGGTTACGGGAAAAGAAAAATGTTTATAATGCGGCTGGAATAAACTTATTTCCTGTTGGCAATTATAACAAGGTAAGCTAAATAAGTCTGCATGCATAAAACATGAATAATCCAATCTAAGCTTCAACGAAAACAAATCAAATGAAACATTATTTCTTTTGAGAAGCTTTAAATGTGTTTCACCTTTTGTATGAAGTAAATTAAATTATTAATATGTATTGTTACTTACTTGTACAGAGATATTGCCTATGGAAATTTGTTGATTTTTTTTTGTAGTTTAGTACAGGCTTTTGATTTAAATACAGTTTTGGGTATTCAAGTCGAAAACATTTTAGCATATCCTTAAGGTTTACACATTGCAAACATAATTTCTATGTACCCAATCGAAATGAACTTTGGCCCTGC